GCTCGACTCTCAACGATGGTCTGTATGACTCCCGCTCCGAGAGTGATTGACAGCCGGTAGCACCAACCACACGCACATGCATGTAGCATTCGGAAAGTGAGCTATTGCCTATGTTTTCTGCGGTGTCAAACGGCCATATCGTATTCCAGTGTTGTTGATAGAGGATAGTATTCGTTTGTTTACAATCTGGTCCATGCCGTGAAGTCTTTCAATGACTGTTAGTAGAAGTCACGCAGCAGACTTCAAAATTCTCTAGGGCTTAGGTCGTAAGCACTTTTCTTCCCAGACTATCGCTTCTGATTGGCTTCGTCACATCTTCTTAGTTTTCTCTTTTTGCACTTCGTTAGGGGATCTGAGTAAAAGAAAATGCAGATTGTTTTATTGCCTGTCAGAACTTCCTATTATATTGTAGAAATTCATCGCATGTCAAAATTCTATGGAGCCTACCAATCGATATATCGATCAGATGTTTCAGGATACTGTAGCGATGTAATTCATTGTATAGTTACATAATATGTGAAAATTTAACCAATGACTATCGTTTGAGCGCTCGCATGCTTAATCTTAGTTGGAAATCAACTTTGTACCAATACCGGTACTTCATGTACTATAATCGATCGATATATTGATTGTTAAGTGCTCAGGGTACGGTAGAGATACTGTAGAGTGCAATACGGTGGTATAAACTGGGTATTTCCTTTAAAATCAATTTTGGATTGTGTCCCTTTGTAAAGCCATTTCTTTCTGCACCAACCTCGATCGATAAACCGATTAATAACTGCTCATATGGTGCGATATCGTAACCAGCAATACGGTAGCAAGGCTACTAATCACGTTTTGGGTAATATTTCCTAGCAATTTTCTCCAAGACTTCCAATTCAGTGATATCTAAACACTATCTTTCAGAATAAGACTACGGCATATTTTGCATATATTTCTGGAAATATTTTCTGGCTTTTCCTATCTTTCATTGACTCATAGAAAGTTTTCGATAACTGTTTTCTTCGAGACGGTTTCTTCCTTTAGCGACAAATGCGTGCAATGTTTTTCATTCTGTCTCCAATTCCTTTCACTTCAACCTTGTGTTTCAAGCAGCCACTTCTTCACGCGCTCTGTTTTCGACTTTGGACCACCAGATGCTGTTGAATGCAGTTGTGTCTATTCAGTTGTTAGTATGAGTGTCTCTGTGTGTCTATGTGCGGGCACTCGTCTAATTAGCTTGAAGAGATCGTAGTAGTAGTATACTGAATGTGCTGGGCTGAAACTTTTTTTCGAAGTGATTGCTTCTGAGTGGGTGGAGTTTTCGGGGGGGGGGGGGGGGCTTTGTCACTAGCCAGGGCAAATTGTTCTAGTGATGTATAAGCTTGAGGTTGTTGTAGGCATAGTAATTGCGTTCGGTCTCTCGGAACACTTCAGCTTTGGAGAAGCTTACTAGATTTTCACAGATAAGCATTTAATCATGGATATTTTGCGTGCGCAGCTCTTCTCTGCCATGTTTAGAGCTGGTATACTCTTCCCATACGCCCATGTTTTTTTTACGGAGAAATAAATTTTGATTAGGGCGCACATTTTACTCTCAGAGCACATAGATACTATCCATAAAATTCAATTTCTGAACAAAATTTTACGCTTTTGTGTGTTGAGAATGTACAAAACGAATGACTGTCTCAGCCTTCAAAACCTTCTGCACCTTGCGATCGATATATTGATTGATGTGCCTACGAGGTCGGTAGAGGTAGTGTAGAGTGCCACACGGTAGTATTCACTGCATATCTTCCAGGATTAATATCCTTGAAGGTTGAGGATGTGAACTTGATTTTTTGCCAAGTGCACTAGCAAGTTTGCAAGGACATGCTAATCAAATAATAAAATATCTATTAAAATTTCATTTTGATAAGGAACAACTTTTTGGGTAAACTTGAGTTACGTCTCAGTCTATTTTTTTTCTTTTTTTGGTATCGCTCCCCCCCCCGCCCATCTTCCCCTATTCTTTTGAATCGAATTATCTAGAAGAAGGCGCATATTTTCACTCGATTAATTTAATAGATAAAAACGCTTATGAATGGGTCACGTCTTGGCCATAAGGCGCCATATCCGCCGATGACGTGGGATCATGCAATGTTTCGTAAAAAATGATATAAAGACTTGAAAATCGATAGAAAAATAAGACTGCAGAACAGTCTTCGCTGAATTCTATATATTACTGGAACTAGGTGGTGGGACGTATATTTTTAGTAGACGGTGTCTCCGCGGACTGCTCCTTTGGCACATACTATTGCATAGATTTGAAGACCAGTGGTCCGCGGATGTGGTGCCTAACTGCGAAATGTTCCTCTACCCTCTTGAAGCGTTCAAAACAGTGGCTTTGGAGTTCATTACCTGGACCGAAGGGTCCAAAGTACCTTAGTACCGTAGCCGCTGCCACCTCTGCCGCCCTCAATCAATCAATTATCGATCGCTTCACCTTTCACCTCTCGCTCGCTCAGAGTGTGGATCGGTTCCGTTGAACTTGCTGTTTTCGCTGATTTTCGAGCTGTTTTCTATCGTCTCCTCTGTCGCCGCCGCGCCGTCGCCTCTTCTCTAGCCGAATTGGACGCGAATTCACCTTTATGTTGACGGCATGTGCATTGCAGCAGTCCCAGCCGGCCAGTCATTGCTGAACTCAGTGAACGCACTGGCTGCGAGACACACTCACGTCGCGTCAGTCTCGCCTTTTTCTACTCTACTTACCAACCATGATTGCATTTGCTGGTAGAACCGAATGTCGCGCTTAAAATCGTTTTTGGAAGAGCTTCTTAGCGAAATTCTACGTGGATTGTGAAGCAAAATAATAAAATGCACTTTTGGTGTAATTTTGCGTGACGGGAGAAATGTAAAGTCTGCGGTTATTATCGTAATCTGCATAGCTTTGACAATGCTCTAGGGCATTTCTTGTAGATTTTTTCGCGCGAAAGTTTCCATAAGTCGTCAAATGGGAAAAAAGTCTGCAACTTCACGTCAAGCTTGTGATTCTTCGGACAATGCCTGAACTTCTCTTTATGTGGTGAACCTTTGATATTTAATCATCACTTGAATAATGCAGTAATGCTTTTGCGTCAATGAGGATAAAGTGTCACTGAAATAAAGGAAATTTCTGTGTATTTGCTTTTTCGGCTCTTAGCTACAAAAACGAAACAATGAGAAGTATCCTTACCGTAAAGGAAGTCCGCAGAATTGCGTCATTGATGCATCATGACATCAACTAGCTCTAATCGTTAACTGCTCGTTTCCAAGTATTTGTGCGTAATCATAGAAGCTACTTTGCTCATAATTTGAGTTCCTCATTGTATTGTCATATGCAGTCTGTGATTGCACAACTTTGACGTGCACTTATAGTAAACCTAAAATGATAAAATGGACTTTGTTAGCTTTGTTCACTTTAGACTGCCTTTTCTGCTTCAGCCTTCCTTTCTCTCATCCGCATTCCATATCACACCTCGAAATTTTTATTTGTGCTTATGCTCGCTTATATCGCAAACGCGTCTGCACTTTTCGTGTCGAGACCAGTCAGCGCTCACTTATCGTATATTTTTCCGCAGTCTACGAGTGTCGGAAAAATCGGACGTGTACTTGGCATCACACACGACGACGACGACACACGCAATAACGACGTTCGACTTTCACGTCTGGAGAGAGCCGTATCATTCGCTAGCAAACGCAGCCGACGAGCAGCTAATGAGCGCATCATTATCAGCAGCCGCATCACCAGTAGCGCCCCAGCCGCCATTGGCAACACAGCCGCCACTGCCAAGCAGTGGATCATCGTCAGCGTCGTCATCGATAGGACAACTTGGACCCGGTGTCGATCAACAGGCTTTTATGTCGACGCCACTTGCGGCCGTTGCCGCGCGGGCTTCTGATGATTCTGGCGAAGAAATGGAACCGATGTCTAGAGATCGTTGCAATACGTGGCCAATGCGGCGGCCGCAATTGGACGTAAATGCACAAACGAGTCCATTGATTCACGAAAAAATTCCGGAAGAAGATGGCGAGTAAGTATAAAATGATTTTGTGAGCGCATTTCTCCTTTCCACTGTTGATCAAAATGTGGGTCTCTGGTTGCAACAGTGCAGACGCTGTTTTTGTGGGTTCAAAAGAGCACGTCTACATCTTTGCCTTCGGCCAGATGAAGCTACATGATCCGCATTGAGTTTGCAATGATCTTTATAGAGGTGCTACGTATATTGAATTTTTGCAACTTCGATTCTATCTTACCCACCGATTTCCCCACCTTCCCTGTCTTCTGCAGCTTTTCTTACAGTGGTTACCGTATCCTGCCTTTTTCATCGTACAAATAACATGACATAATTTTTTGGAAAGATGATCGGTAGCTTCTACTAAAAAAATTTCTACTTGCTAATTCGAGCCGAATATCCTCCAAGGAAAAGCCAAATGTAAAAAAAGCCAGTTTCCAGAATTGCCTTTTAGAGTTAGAATGTAAGAATTTTTCAAATTTCCTTCATTTGTATGAAAAATTTTTTGATCGTCTTATGACCACATGGTTAACATCTTTGCGCTTACTTTCTCCCCGTTCTTTTCTGCCTTTTAATCTGATTTCAAAGTCAGCTGCCAAAACAGCCAGCTTTTCTAACAGCTCTCGTATTAGCTTCACTTGTCGATAGTCAAGCAAGTAAGCCGTCGGACGAGAGTCTAGTGAGAGCCTGCAGCAGTTCGCTTGTGGCCTAGCGGTAAACAATTTATAGGGACTGATAAGGTCGTCCCTGGGGGACGTGTAGTTACCGACTAGTTGTCTGGCGCGCAATACGGCACGGGGAAGTAAATCAGGCATTACTTCTGAAGAGCCGTGCGTCGTACTAGGAGACGGGTAAATCTTACCAGAACATTGAGCTTAGGTGTTTTCTGTGCTCAGTATGCCTATTGAAGTTTTCAGGGGTGTGGTAAAGATACCCGGCTCTTTACTTTTAGTGCTCGCCTGCCCTGATCGAATTTTCTTATTGCAGGCTCTACGATAGTGGCGAAAATCTGAACGGTAGACTTGGCGCCACTTCGGTGGCATCTAGCGGTTTGCTACACAGTCCCGATGGCAATAACACATTTTCACCGAGGTATGTCCACCTTACCCTTTGGATAAACCGATCTTCCGCCCTTACCGTGACAGAATTGAAGTTCCTTGTTTTTGTAGTAGTTGCAACATTATTCTTACACTAACTGCAACATCATTCTTACAGTAGTTGCAACATCATTTTTAGTAGTTGCAACATCTACAGTAGCTGCACAATCGTTTCTTTACTAGTTGCAACCTCATTTTTACTGTAGTTGCAACATCAACTCACAGTAGCTGCAACATTATTTTTACAGTAGCTGCAACATGTCGTCACCAGTGATGAACGATCAAATTGCGCAAAATGGTGGCAACGATGGTAGCGATGGTGTAGCCGGTGCCGGTGCGAAAAAATCAACTACCCGGCGTAATGCTTGGGGTAATCTCAGCTATGCGGACTTAATCACTCAGGCTATCATGCAAAGCCCCGAGAAACGGCTTACATTGTCTCAGGGTGAGTTACGGTGATTCGAATCGATCAGTTACCGATTTTTTATGTCGTTATGGAAGCGTGCAAGCGTTGATTTTCGTGCATATTTGCAATTATCATAATTTCAAATCCCCTCTCATCGGTGTTGAAGAGCTTTTGATTGAAGCAACCCCATACTATTGTAATGTAGAAAGGTTGCGGTTTACATTAGAGAAGCTACTTGGATATCGATATTAGGGCCATTTCTGAGTTCAGCTGACATCTTCATTGAGGCTAGGCTGATGGGTCAGCTTTTAAGCGAAAAAATGGAGCCTATTACTATTTATTTGTTAAGAGGATATCATTTAATCAAGCATATATACCACAGCACTTTAAGTGTTCAGCTAATGAGTTCAGTTGAGTTCAACTGACGAGTTCAACAAGGCTCAGCTGACAGGTTCAACATTTGACCGAAAAAGCAATGCGTTTTCTTATCCAACTATCAAGAATATCAAGAATATACAGATGAATTTGACAACTTCTTTGCAGCCGCTTTCAACTAATTTTATCAGGTTCGATAGCTTAATGGCACCATTTCGCGTTCAACTGTGATGTTATCAGCTGAATTAATGAATATTATCGCTGCAAAACCTATAAAGGGTGTGATAAGTAGGCTGTAAGTACAGATCTTGTACCTCACCTTTCGATAACATCACTGGTATTTCTCGCGCTCAAATTGAATTAATGGTTCGCATTACTTGAACTAAAGAACTCAGTTTGTGTCTTGAGAATGTTAGAAGTTTTTGAGCAAATTATCTTCTGATATTTCTTAACTATTTTTGATAGAATTTTACCAGCATTTTGAGTAATCAAACGTAGATTTTCTACCGCAGTGGTAAGTGAAGCGAATTGCCTTACCTGTTGAAAATTTGAGAAAGTTTCGGAGCTAGGCAGACTTCCCGTCTAAAAAGGATGGGGGGGGGAGGGGTGAAGAAGTGAAATTTTAAGAGGGAATGACTTGGTTGAGTTTGCATTTTTTGACGTTAAAATTGACGTTGAAATTTTTTTTTGCTTTGGAAGCTGCAAAATTTTGAATCACTTTCTTTCATTTGTACAGAGTTTTACATCACTTTTATTTTTCTCAACAAAAATTTTTCAGTCTACGAATGGATGGTTCAAAATGTGCCATATTTTCGGGACAAAGGCGATTCGAATAGTTCGGCTGGATGGAAGGTAGGTTCACTAATTTTTTTTGCAAATTTTTCATTTCCGCTTTAGATTTCTTTTTGCACAGATTCCTCACAAACACTTTTCATGCCAACCGAGATTTGATCTCGAAAAGGTTTTTGCTTTTATTTCCACATTTTTCTTTCGTCGAGCAAAAAAAAAGCCGATTATATGCACTGATACTGTTGGAGACTCGAATGTTTTTCACTGCTGCATTGTTTACCCAGCGTTTCTTGGCCCTTGGGTTTTTGTTGACTTTTTTCTTCGTCTTCTTTGCTTTTTCCTGCTGTTGTGAAGGGACGTGAGCATACTGTGCGGGTAGGAGATGTTTTGCTTCGGCTCACTTCAAACCCGTTGCGAGAGGTTGCCGGGGGTGAAAGGGTACTGTCCGTCCGCGGGGTTTTTTATGCGACTGTTTTGGCACACACGCACAACATGCACACATTCATAGCAGTGTTGGTAATGTTTACACAACGGTATATGTGTGATCGGGTGAAAGTGGTTAGAGGTGTCAGGATGACGCGTTCTGATGGAATCATGGAATTTCACACGTTTTTTGGTATTATTTTGGGGAGGCAGGGACTGGTTTTAGGGGTATGCAGTTGAGGAGTAGAGACTTTTCTAAGGAGAATGCACCTATATCGAGTGCCATGAATATGCCATGGTTTTATACTGCATAACCTTCTACCCTTGTCTGTTAGTACTGCTTGCCGTGATAGATGCGTAACCCTCCCTTACCCAGTATGTCCTGCTTCTTTGTTTTTCACCTTACAAAGGAGGTAACTATCCTATAGGAACATTTGGAGTAATACAAATCGATCTCGGTATCTCATACAGAAACCTGTTCGAAAATGATTGGGTAAAAACAGTCTACCAGAAGAACGGTATCTATGCTATGATAAACTTTTTTGATCATTTCCGCTTATGGAAACTTTATCGACTTGGCATCTCATTCATGTTCCTAATCACCTTACCAATCCCTCGGAACATTCTTTACCCGATTGATAAGCTCTGACTCACTCAATGATCTTTTGGTAAGAACATGAATGACAGGTAGGAGGTGATGCTAACCACGAGTTTCAGTCTGCAAATACATTGAGGCATGAACTTGAAATTGAGGGAGGGTTACCTTTTGCTTCAGGTTAGGGTGGTTTTACCATTCAAGTCTGCAACTTCTCAATTTAGCTTCACCTTAGCGTATTCTAAGGAATTCTTGTTCAGAATCTTTTACCAATCTCAGACACTTCTCGCATTACCTTACCCATCATCAGGTTACCTAGGGCAATCAAGTAAGCTTTCCACGATGTTGATGGGGACTACTGCTCATACCCTTTTGGTTCCCGGTAACCCTTACCAAGGAGGTTCTCCTTGTTTTGCACTCCCTTCACCTCACTGCTCCGCAATTTTGCATTTCCCTAAACATTCCCATTCCCATCAATCCTTTTCACTCACTGGAACCATTTTTCCCATTCTCAAATGCGAAATACGATTCTTTGTCCCTGTCTGAACATCTCCCTCGTCTTTGTACGCATTCGCTACCACATAGTAGTTCTTTCTTTCATTGTTGCCGCTGACGAGATGCGATTCGCGCGTTCGCAATTCGCGCGCCATTCACTCGCGCGCTTGCGAGTTTTGTTATTTTCGTAGTTCTCACTCAGGCTCTTCTCTGGCACACTCCACGAATTCTGTACTCTGTGGACGAGTCGAACAACAGAGCTTTAATGCGAACAGGACTCGTTTTTTGTGTTGGAGAGGCGTTTTATGCGTAGTATGCGTGAGTGTGCTGTGTTTGCTACGTTCGCGCGAGAAACATCGGCATGTTTCAGCAACGTAGTTTTGGGGAAAACATGACTTTGATAGGGTTATAGGTAGGGCGGTAGGAAGGGAAATGGAGGGTGACCTTGGGAGAAATTAAAAGCGATAGGAGCTGGGCAACTACTTGCAGAACTTAAGATTCAAAGTATGCAATCAGAGGAGTTGTAAACTGAACTTTCCAAACATGGGTAAGGTCAAACTTACCGAATGAGGTAGTTGGATTTGCCGGTTGAAACTTCGGTAAGGTTAAACCACCCGTATCATGAAACTTGGAAAAGCTGCTCGCTTGGTAAGGTATTTACCGTATTTATGAAACATGGGCAAGTTAATCTTACCGGGATACGAAACTTGATAAGGTTTACAAAGAATCGTGGAACTGGGGTCAGATTCATGTGACCGGGATTGGGAGACATGGGTAAGGTTAAAGTTACCGGCTACTATCTCATACAGTCGCCTATAAGCACAGCCTTACAGATTTTGCAAAAAAAAAAGTTTTGTTCGTATGACAGTAGCTCACCGAAATCACGGTATCGTTAACAAAAGTGTTTCTCCTGTACTTTTTTTTACTTTTCCCAGGTAGGACGGCTGAATTTGTCCTAGGAGTTATGGTATTTCAGCCACGTTTTTGCTTCTTTTTGAATTAAATTGAGGGACATCGTTCTCTAATGGAAAATGCCGAAGTCTCTGTATTGGGAGGAACGTGAATAAAGTATTGAATATTTTTCTTTTCAATAGACTCCATTGCTTCTTCCAGTAACAGAAGCCCCACAACTCTACAGCTGTCGCGTTCCCTCCATTTAGCGCACTGTCTTGGCAGCATCGGGACGATAAATGTATGAATGATTGAATGAATGCGTGCATGATGGCCAGATGTGTGACCCGCGGTGGCGGTGGCGGTGGCGGCCATGGTGTGAATTGTTCTTTTCTCTGTTCTCTCTGCGTTTTGCTGCGAGAAGTGCCCTTTGGGGTGGAAAGTTTCTGCAAAACTTTGGAACTCGCATGGTCAGCGCTTGGAAATCGCGCTTGACCACTTCTTAAGCGGCGCAGTAACTGGTTGAACGGTCACTCCAGTCGAAATCTTCTTCTCCCCGCAAAGCGAGAGATGAAAACGAAATCGCCGCGCATCAGCGGCTGCGGCTCAATGTCGCCGAGTGTTCCCAATTTCTCCTGTCCCTACTTAGCGCTACTGTGCGTTAGCAGCGCGCCGCGCGCCGCGCCAGGCCCTTGAAGTGGCCACTTTGTGTCGTCGTGGACCATTTGATCGCGCCAGACGTTCGTTCGCGGCCGTACTGGACGACCTTGTAAGTGGCTTTGTTGGACATAGGGTGTTGCGATCCGAGCGGATGTAAGATGTGATGGGTAGGTTGCGCGAAAATTCGGCTTACTTGGGAAAGCCGATTTGATGAGAATTAGATGAATGGATGTCATGAAAGTTGAAGTGAAAAGGGTGGAAATTGCCGCCGTTGTCCTAAATAGTCTCCAGTAGGCAAAAAGAAGAAGCATCTCCGCGTTTCAATTATATAACTGCTAATTTGGCGCTTTACCGTACCATCACCGTACCTGTACGGTACCTTTGCAGTACCAGCTGATGTGAGACACTCAGAATTTTTGATGAGTGAAAACCTTCTCTACTCCCTGGAAGTGCCTGCAGTAAAAGAATCAAGTTTCATACTATTCCATTTGATTCCATTGCGAATAGGTGCTACCGTACCGCTACCGCGTCCGTACAGTACCTTACCGTAACCCCATGAACTTGACCTGTTGCTTTTTTCGTTATTCTTTGGAGATCTTGACCCCCCCCCCCCTATTCTTCCAAAACAATCATTTTCTTACTGATAGACCAAAGTTTTGTTGGTAGTTGGAGCGGAATATCTTTCGTGATACCTCCAATATCGGGAGTTTTCCGAAGTTTCGCGAATTCTGCTCAACTGTCTCACTACCGTAACCGTGACCGAACTTCGTGTCCCCTCCAGCTCCTCCACTTCTACCCGGCTCTTGACCCGAGCTTATCTCGTGCAGCATCTCTGGTCTCCGCGCCAGCCGTTCGAGCACAGCTTTTCGCCTCGTGACGCGAGGTACTACGAACGGAACGCCGCCCGTCCGAACGAAAACGGCTGGAGCGCCGAGCACCAGCAGGCACAGGCAAATATCTGGCGCCTAGTCGGCTGCCCGCCGTCGCCGTTCGCCGCCTAGCGCCACCTTTGTGCTTTCGCGGATGAATCCAGAGTAGCGGAGGGGGGGGGAGGGAGTGGACGTGACCACGTGTGGAGGAGATGAACGGCGTTCCGCCGACGGAGGTTTACTACGCGTGCGCGCACAGTCTCTCTAGCGAAAGAAAAATCGCTCCCCCCCCCCCCCCTCCCCTCTGAACGCCGAACGCCCGAGTTGTTCGCGCCCTCCTGCACGCCGATGCTATTTCTCCTCCCCCCCCCCGTTCTCGTTGGCTGAACAGCCGCTTCTCCCGCATTTCAATCCGCGCGTTCGCCACTCATCATCAACGTCGATGATTGACGCTTTCATGGAAGCCGACGTTGAAGTGACAGCGATTGTCGCGCGCCTGGTGACGTCGACTGCTTTTCGGCGGTGCTAAGGTCAGAGTCCTTAGGATCTTTGAAGGAGACGGCGACGGCATTGGACGCAACGATGCGGAACGGAAAGGAGCAGGTGGAGGAAAGAAGTAGATAGCCATAAAGAGGCATTGGGGTGGATGAAACGAGAAGGAGTGTTGAGAACTGAAAGATCTTTCTGGTGGTAGACTTAGTTGTGAATCTCATGGAGGCGACCCAGGGTATCAGCCTCATCAAGTTAGTGTTTTATCCATGGTATTCTATCTTGGTAAAATGAATTCTCAGGCTAGTCTTGGTCCATCCCTGTAAGGCTAAAACTGTAACCTATCCCCACTTTCAGCCGACCCGGTTGGGTTACAAGGTACCTGGTCAAATTTTGACCGTTTCAAGTGAATTTTAGGGTACCAAATGCCCGGTATGGGCCACTTTATGTAGATCATCCCTCGTGATGTCGTCACAGAGTATACTAGTTACCCAAGTCACACCAGCCTAGTGAATTGTTAGCTTGCTTGCCTACCCTCAGCTCGGCTGGTTGGGTTACCCGGTCGAGTCACTAGACGAACAGACTAGAAGCATTATATATATATTAGATTATTAGCATTATATCTCTTCTTTCTTTTTGAA